TTTGTAAAACTTGTATAATTATTTTTGTGTCTCTTCAATGGATCTCTAGAAAGAATTTTTACTTAACTGATGTTTTTAGATTTTTATTTATGGTGTCTGTGTACAGAAATGTTGTACAGGGGGTGCACAGTCTTGTCTGCTTAAATAAATACACAATTGAAGACTGAAAATGTTTGCGTGTTCTCTTAACTGATAAATGTTTGATAAAAGAAGTATGAATAATGAATAGTATGAATAAAAATCCCAGTATAGTAAAAGTGTTAGCAGCCAAATATTCTTAAAAGGCCTCTGCAGTAAAAAGGTTTCTTTCTAATAACGTTTAAATATTGATAATGTGTCTTGCAGTTGAGGATTACCATCTATTGCTTAAAGTGTTAAAGGGAAATATATTATTCATGATATGAAACCGCATCCCAAAGATGCTCTGTTGGATTGAGATCTGGTGAATCCGTGAACTCGCGGTCATGTTCAAGAGACCAGCATGAAACGATTTGAGATTTTTATCCTCTGAAGCGTACACTGTGCTCATGAAGGGATGGACGCTGTCGGCAACGATACTCGGATAGAGAGTGGCGTTTAAGCGATGCTCAGTGGGTTTTCCTGGGGTCAAAGTGCACGGAGATCATTAGACCACCAGCAGCCTGAACCACTGATACAAGCAGGATGATTCCATGCTTTTGTGTTTTTGATGCCTAAATCTGACCCGTCCATCCAAATACTGCAGCAGAAATTGGGATTCATCAGACCAGGTAATGCAGCGGTGGGCAATTCCAGGCCCCGAGGGCCGGTGTCCTGCAGGTTTTAGATCTCACCTTGGGTCAACACACCTGAATCACATGATTAGTTCGTTACCAGGCCTCTGGAGAACTGCAGGAGCTAACTTAGCCATTTAAATCAGCTGTGTTGGTTCAAGGACACATCTAAAACCTGCAGGGACACCGGCCCTCTGGGCCTGGAATTGCCCACCCCTGAGGTAATGTATTTCCAGTCTCCTGTTGTCCCGCTGCTGTATAAATCTGCCTCAGGGTTCAGAAACTTTCATTCACACATGTTCTTCTACACACCTTGATCATCTCAAAACATCTGTTCTTCTTTGACCTCTGTTTTTGACAAGCCATTTACACTCAGAGAAACTCCCTTGACTGGATGTTTTAAATCTTTGTGCAGGAAAATCCCAGCGGATCAGCAGTTTCTGAAACACGATTAACGTCCCTTAAATCACCTTTCTTCCCTGTTGATGCACAGTTTCAAGTATCAGGTCCAAGTATCTTGATTATGTGTGTGCAGCATTTAATTTCAGGAGAGCGTGTATAAATCTAACATGACATTTCAGTCGCTCTGTTCTGTCATGTGTGTTTCTTCCTGGCCTCAAATGTGTGCTTCTTCACTTAAAAACTTTCCAGTGTCTCTGCCACTGTTGTGCAGATAATATACAAAGTGGTGATGAATAAAATGGCAATTTGGTATTTGATTAGGAGCTAAAACCTTATTTATCTCCCAGTTTCCCAAAGGCAAAACCACATGTTGATGATATATTTAAAAAAATGTCAGTTAGTTCCCCCTAGTGGGCACAAATTAATAATGCAGCACAAATGTCAGCACTTTTAAGTAGAACTGAATGATTTACTTGAAGCTCCGAGTGTACGCTGTCATGTTTGTTTACACCAGACTGTGTTTACAAGAAGTCGGTATGGTAACAACAGGCACAAGTTTCTTTTATGTGGCTCCATGTGATCTTTCAGAGGAGGACGCACATCTGCAGCGTGTCTTTGTTGGGCACACGGAGCTCACTTTCTCCTCTTTCCATGTTATGATGGATGCTGGCAGCCTCAGTTAGCCACCAGTGACAGCTCTTTAGTGTTTCTCTACACAGGAGTGCAGACTGTTAGCATTAAGGCGAAAGTGTTTTAGTGCTTACCTGCCTACACATAATGACTAATGACCTGATTTCCCTGCATCTGTTTTTTGGCGTGGTGGTTTTTTTGGTTTTGTTTTCAATGTATTTGTCATAAAGAAAGAGATCAAGTGGATGTGGTTTTTTGCTTCTCTTTCACCCTATGTACTTTTTCTTTGTTGATGTGACCTGTTGATGTGACCTCTCATCATTTTCACTTGGCTCTTATTGCACCCATGAGTTCATTTCAGGACAAAGACAGTTGACTGATTTTCTAGTGCAAACATGAGTCTTTATTACAAACAACCATCAGCATATTTTGGTCAGTGCTTTATTAATTTCATATGTTTCTCCTGATGAAAAAGAAATAACGAAACCCACACAAACCATCGGGGAGTTTTCCATAAACACAGTTGGAGCTGAGGGAGGATCCTGTCCATCACAAGAACCATCTCATGGTACTTTGGCACTGTCAGAGACATCTGGAGGAAGGTGGAAGGGGAAAGGTGGAGGTGAGCCCCATGAGAGACGACATTCGTCTAGCGAAAGAGTGTCTCAGCTAGGCGGAAGCCACATGGGGAGGTTGGACAGAATGGAAAGGCTCGATCTATCATTGCACTTCAGTAACAACAACTCAATCAAACATTGTTTCTCTTTCCTTGTCAGCCCCGTGACACACAACTCTTTCAGTCAATAAATAATCCTCCAGGAGCTCTGGGGATCCCTACGTGCTGTGGGCCCACCACATCTTCATCATCAGCGGCTCTGAGAGAGAGTCTTCGGCCGCGTGTGAAGCTCTTCATGCCACCATAACGCAGCAAACATTCATCGGTGTCAAATATGTGCTCACTCAGCAGAGTCAAGTCTGCTGGAGGCTCTCTCCGTGTCGCGCGGAGTAAATGTGACAGTAGCGGGCAGCTGAGTGATGATGCTGGCGTTGCACATCAGCTGGGTGAACACGCTGCTGTCCTTCACAATGCTGGTAGTAAACAGGGTGGTTTGCGCTAAAGGAGGGGAGCTGCTGCGGCTGCTGCTGCCTCGCCTGGATAAACCGAGGAACCGGCGGAACAGGGACTTCCTGAGGAGGATGTAGATCCAGGGGTCAAGGATGGGGTTAACTGAGGCTATCCTGATGGCAGCCAGGTCTGCTTTGAAGTTTTTTTCATCACTGAAGCAGTTTGCAAACACACGAACCTTAAAACAGAAAAAAGGAGCTGTTATAATATATTTCTTTAGACTGTTAACAGCTCATAAGCAGGAAGATTTCCTGTTTTGTCATCTTAAAAAAGAAAAGTCTGTCAAATCAAATCAAATCAAATTCCTGGGTTCCTGGATTGAATGAGCAAACTCAACATTAAGGCAGTGTCCTCATGTAGACTACACCTCTGGTTACAAATATTTTGCAAGCTGTTTGAGTTGCATTATTAATTTCTGCTATTTGGGTTTAGCTGGACATTGTAAATATAAAAAATAAACGTTAGCTTTGAGCAGAAAATGACTAATAAAGTCTGTTCTGGAGACAGGGACTTTATTTTCTAACACAATAAAATCCACATTGTTTAACACAGTGTAAACACTTCATGGCTTTTCTGAAAAGCCAAAATATAACGTCCCTGTATGAGGTGAAGAGAAATGATCAAATTTTATCCAATTAAAGGCAGATTACACCCTGCACCGGTAACCAGCCTGTTGCAGACAACCATTCACAATCACACCTATAGGCAGTTTAGAATGAACCTAACCTCCTGTCTTTGGACTGTGGGAGGAAGCCTTAGTGCCACAGTACACAGGCAAAATAAGCAAACTCCACACAGAAAGGCTTCAAACTTGGGAATTTATTGGTGTGAGGGAACAGTGCTAACCACCGTGACCAGGTAATGACTGGACTTTAGAAAACAATATAGAATATATTCATCAAATATACAAGAATATTTGATGAACTGGCATGGAAGTAAAATGCATAAAATGTGAAGGTAGCCCTACTAAACTGTCACCAGAAGTTTTCAGCTGTAGTCATTTTAATGATACATATTGTTGTGTGTGTAGGATATATATTTATCCAATTATATTAAGTTGAACTTCTGGAGTACTGAAAATATTTGCTCGAATCAAGCAAACTGAGCAAATCAAGCACTACGTTGGTCCACTTTTAGGTCCTTTTACAGATTTAAGTAGTTCCTCGTTATTTCACAGGCAGTTGTTGCCTGTGAAATTCAGGCTAACTGCGTGCATCGCTTTAGAGGAAAAA